AATGGAGACGGAGTTTGCATCAGCCCGAACTGGCTGGGCTGTTGATCTGCCGGGAGCTATGGTGAGCAGTAGGATCCAGAGCGATCAATCTTTGGTGGTTTCCATGGTGATCCTTGTAGATTTATTGGTCTCCATGGCATCCATGTGAAGATGTGAATCTCCTGTGTATTTCGCTCTGAAGAAGGCGAAGCTTTCAGAGTCAGGAAAAGGACTTGGGGTGTATTTAAGAGGGTTCATTGTGCCTTCAACGAACGGGTAGAGTTCAAGCTTAATGCCATTCCGGGTGGTCCGGGGTGGAGGTGCCGGTGGTGTAGGTAGCAGTGACCTTGCCCTGTGAGGACTTGAGAGAGGGGAGAACGCAGCGGAACGGACATCCGGGAAGATCGGGAGTGAGGAAGGAGGGGGCCAGGAGGGTCCCTGAATTCAGCGGGTCTCTGAGTCACGGGAAACCCGTTCGAGGTAAGCAGAGAACAGCGTGAGATAGATCTCGACCTAGACAGCCAGGGTGTCCCATTGTCCCTGTGAGGTCCCTGCAGGATGCACACCTCGAGGGACCTCTCTGTTTAGGCACCTTCTTTACCCCGGATCCCTGGTTTCCGATTCAGCCTATCCGGGTGGGGCCCGAAGCTTGGCATTCTCAGCCACCAAGTGATGCTGAAGCTGCGGGTCCAGGGGTCACACGCCGAGAACCACCGCTGGAAACCATGACTCTCAGACTTTGCCACCTGTGAGTTTTACTATTCTTAAGTCCCAGGAAGTTACAGCAGCGGTCCCCAAGCTTTTCAGAATTCAGGGACCGGTGCTCCTATGAGAGTCTAATGCCTGATGATCTGAGGCGGAGCTGGGGAGCGGCTGTGAATGCAGATGACGCTTTGCTTGCTCGCCTGCTGTGTGACCTGGTTCCTAACAGGCCACGGACCAGTGCCAGTCTGTGGCCAGGGGGTTGGGGACCCCTGAGTTAAACAGCACCTCTAGGGGTGGCACCTGGGCACCAGTGTGTTTTAGAGCTCTCAGAGGCTTCCCACGGCTCTGTCAAATCTCTGCTGGGGAGTTCATATACTGGCTGTCATTATGTGGCATTAAGAACATACCAAGACTCTACTTCACGAAAAGAAAATTCGAGATTGCTGCATGCGAGTGTCCCTTTTGCAGAAATCCATCTAGAAAATTCAAGTGCCGTAAGAAGGGGAAACATTTTTTTAATGGTCGTCATTTTTATAGTAAATGAATACAGTATCCGCCAGTTATTTTGCTTGTAAAAAAAACCATGAAAACCATTTTATTTGACTCTTTATCTGAAATTCCTCTGAATAAAATGCCCAGCAGGAAATAATCCTAAACCCGAGTAGCTTTTCAGTTGTTACAGTGAGGCATAACGTGCCCGGAGACGCAGCTGGGTCAGATCTAAGCCGCGGTTTAGCTGCGGGGCACCCACGGCCTAGGTGGGTCGGGACGGGGTGGCGGGGGTGTCCGCATGCCTGTTGTGACGCCTCATGGCCACCAGGGGGCACCCACACGCCACCGCTCCTGAGCCGGAGACCGTGGGTGGCGCGGGAGAGACCGTCCAAGTTCAAATGCGAGGAAAGCAGGGAAAAGATGCTGAGGGCGTGTTATGTTGATTTCCATTGGTAGAATTTAAGGCGCAAACCAAACAGCTAGAACACGTTAGTTTGGCAAGGGTTTGGAACCATGGCTGGGGGAAACTGATATTGGAACAAGCCCTTAGGGAAACAGTTCACCCACTAGATCCTCAGGCGCACGAGTCTTACCATCCTGAAATTCCAGTCCTGAAATGCCAACAGAGATTTGTTCGCCAGGAGACAGACAGAAGCAAGCATCCCAAGGCGCGTGAAGGCTTGTAAGCCAGCCAGGCTGGAAACTTCACGAACGCCCGTCCACGATGCAGCCGAGGGGGCCACTTTGGCTGCGATCTCCCGAGGCAACACTTATTTGCACGCGAGCTTGACTGCTGGACGCGAACAAGACCTACGGTGGTAATGAACTTGAAACACACAGTCCAGTATTGATATAGCTGTGGGAACTGTATCGCCCATGTCGGAACTCACTCACCTTGCACAGCTGCAACTTTGGACCCATCTCACCGTTGGCAACTGCCCAGCCCTGGTGGGACTATTTTAGATTCCTCGCATAAGTGGACCCGTGCCCTGTGTGTCCTTCTGGCTGGCTTACTTCTCTTAGAGTAACGTCCTGCCAGTTCCTCCATGTTGCCAAGGGCCCAGTCATCTTCCCTCGTTTGCATATATACCGCATTTCCTTTATCCACTCCTGTGATGAATGTTTTCTGGGACAGATCATAGGCTAGGCCAAAGCAGTGTTTTAAATAGGAAGACATCAGGGGGATGGAGGGGGGGCGGCGAAATCCGGATTCACACACAGGAAAACGGATAACTAAAATATAAGTCTCAATACTAAATACCGAACTGTATTTCATCCATGTAATCAACGTGGATGAAAACCAGACATAAAATACACGAGTGAAAACGTTAGCCGATGAATGCGTTATACAGTATATCATTTATTTAAGTGTTAAAAGCCTTCATAAATACCATATATTGTTTACGATCAAACATCACATAGTAAGAGAATGATGCTCGGTCGGGAATTATATACGGCGAGGTCAGAACAATAATCAATTGTGAAGATGCAGGCCATGGAAAGAAAAGAAGCCTTAACTGCTTCTGTTCTTTGATTTCTCATTTTTGTAAAAAAAAAAAAAAAAAAGTTGACATAGCTTTGGATAATATTTATAGTATTTTCATATCGCTCTGTATGTATGAAACATTACAGCTACTTTTTAAAAGCTGGGAGGCCATGAAGTGAATTAGAGGTGCCCTGGTTAATTTTCCACAATCAAACCTTCAGGGATACAAAAAAATTTGATCATTCAAGGCTCCAGGATGAAAGAACAGCTTTTAAGCAATTACCAGCAGTTATTCACATGTACAAGGACAGGTGAACGAATGTCTATCTCTGTGAGATCTAGAAGTTTCTGAGCATTATTTCCAGGGGAACAGCTCTTGCGGAAGATCTGCCATATTCTCCTCAAACACTTTATCAAAGACCTCAGCTTGGGCCACCGTGAAGTAGGTCTTCCAGTCCCCAGAGATTCCTGACGAACGTAAAACAGAGAGGCTCAGATCAGACCCAGGCACAGGTCTCAAGACCCCAACACACCTCGTCCTGGATGTATTCCTGTCCGCTGGACGTGGGGATTGTCGCTAACCCAACAGAATGGCCAGCAGACGGTTCATTGCTGGGCCTTTGTGTGTGTTTACCTGTCAGAGAACAATGTCCTGTGTTCTCCTCCCAATCGATCGACCCATCGTATATACAATTCACCAGCAATAACGCACCTCTGTGTTCTGGTGCATCTGGGACGTGGCCACTTCTCGCCATCTCTGTGTCTACGGCCCTGGCCTAAGCCAACATCGTTTCCCACCTGGATTATTGTACTAGACTTCTCATTACTCTCTCTGTTTTTGATCTTTCTCCTTTACGAGTTATTCTCAGCTTGGCAGCCATCCTGGTTCCTTGAGAAACGGAGTCAGATCCCGTGGCTTTCTGCTCAGATTCTCTGAGGACTTCAGGTGTCCCTTGGTGAAAGCCTTTATGGCTTCCACACGGCTCGCTTTGGTCCCCTGGTGTTTCTCGGACCCCTCACCTCTCGTGACCAGCCACGTGCTCACTCGACTCCACCACATTGAATCTCCTGATTCTGCCTCAAACATACTAGGCGTCCCCGCGCCTCAGACTACTTGTGTTTTACATTTCTTCTCACTGGGGTGCTGTCCCTTCGCATGTCACCACGGCTCGCCTGTCGACTCTGTCAGGCCTTTTCTCCAACGCAGTCTTTTCCGTTTAGAGCTGTAAATCCCCGTTCTTACTGTCTCTACTTACCACGTGGGACATACTATGGGTTTTTTCCTTTGTGTATGTGTCTGTGTGTGGCGTGTATCTCCAATATACGTTTTAGAAAGTCACGAGCTTTTCTTTTTAAGTTGCCAAAGACTTAGCGTTTCGGTATACGCAAACATGTAGCGTGTACTCGGATAATTGTCAAGAAGATGACTAAGAGAATGAGAAGGGGTGTGTGATCATTATCCCCACTTTAAGGCTGAGGAAAAAGTGACCTGGGGAGGTTACGCAGTTGAAAAGTGACGTGTGAGGATTTGAAGGCTAAGATTTTAATCCTGGAAGCCATACTCTTAATTATACGATTATAGTATTATTCTATATATCACATAAATGAATACTTAGGTATTATATTAATATACTAACTAAATCAATACATTAATTAAATTAATATAGAACAGAATGATATCCAATTGTGTGTAAGTTAGTCATGCATAGATATGAATTATATGCTTAACTTATATGCATAGAAATAGCATGACGGAATGTCTAATAAATAATTGGTGCCCTATAAACACCCACTCTCATGCTCATCCTTATCCTGAGTATCAGAACAATTTTTATCAGAATTGATTTCTTATGTTCATGTACCCTCCATAACACACCTGACTTTCAGTCAGCCAGACCGAGCTCTTGAGGTACCAGAATCTCTGTAAATCCAACATGGCCACCCCCATGAACCATCAGATAAGAGAATGTGTCTGTGAAACCAAGCAAGTCGTCTGCTTTCAAAATGCAATAGTAGGAAAGGCATAGGAGAGATACCCTCATTCCAAATGGGAGCAATCAGAAAGAAGGATGAGATCACGGGTCCCAAGCAAATCCAAAACCTATCAGGGCAAATGCCATTAGATTAAAAAAATTTTTTTAATTAAAATATAGTTGACGTACAGTATTATATTCGTTTCAGGTGTACGACACAGTGGTCGACATTTACGTACCTTACGACGTGATCACGATAAGTCCGGTGACGCGTCTAGATTTTAAGGATGGGGAATTGGCCTCTATCCGGACGCTCTGACCCCCTGGGCCCCACCCCCTCTGCCCCGAGTGGCAGCCCCCGCCTACTCGATGCCTTTCGAATCATTTAATTCCTTTCTCCCATGGATCGCCATCCTGGATATACTTGAGCTACAGGGTTCTGGGATAACGGGCTCCTCCCATTCCATGTAGGAGACACTCCTCATTCATCCTGAGCCCAAAGACAGGGACACGACCACAGGGGCCTCCCAGCTAAGTGCGAAGTCTCCCCGCTCTTTTCTCCACTTGAGTTATGGTTTGCACACTTCTTCATTCAGGACAGTTCTCTGTGCTAAATCACCAGCAAGACAGCAGCAACACGACCCTGCCCAGTCCCGTCCTCCCTCCCCGGGTCAATCACGGCCCGCAGACCGGCAGCAGGGAATTCACCCGGCCACGTCGTATAGAGTGGATATCCCCCCTGTGCCAAATTCTGAGGAGAGGTGACCTGGATGACCTCCCGTGAGTCAGATGACCCCTCCAGGTCTAAACAACCTCCTCCAAGTGCCCGCAGCCCACATCAGTACTATGCAGAGAGCAACTTTCAGATAAGGGCACGTGAGACGTCCTCCAGGGGACGAACGGTTAAAGCCACCAAATCCGAACACTCCCTGGTCCCCACCGTCAGCGTCCAACCGTCAGCTCAAGGATGCCCTCCTCACATCCCCTCACGTCACATTTTCATTTACCTTTTCTCATGAACGACCCGCTCTTGTGATCCAAAATGTGACTCGGCATGAGGGTGTAATTAGACATCTTGTTTTCTTTCATGACCTGGAAGGAGCTGTGCTCCAGGAGCGAGTTCAGTTCGTCCGGCTCTAACTTCTTGCCCAGGAATTGGCAGAGCTTCTGTACAGCGTTCCTTGTGTCCTAGAAGGAGAGAAAGCGAGAGAGAGAGAGAGAGAGAGAGAGAGAGAGAGAGAGAGAGAGAGAGAGAGAGGGGCTATGTGAGAGAAAGAACACAGAAAAGGGGTTGAAAAAGAGGAAATGACAGAATGAGGAGAAGGAGGGTGGGGGAGAGGATGAGGGGGACGGTACAGAAGTGAGAAGTGTGGAGTTGGATGTGACTGGGAGGGAGAAAAGGAAGGAGGTCCCGAAGAGCACGAACATGTCAACGATGCCAGCGGATCGACATGGAGTCCCCAGTGGGACTGAATTCAGGACACCCGAACGGTGATGTACGGAGCCTGGGTTTTCTAAAGAGACTTTTAGAAAGGCGTCTAGATGATCGTGATGAGGATTAAGCAAGGAGAGGTTCAGAGACAACTTGACAAAGATTTAAGAGCTTTATGTCACATCCTGGCCGTGCCATTGAACGATACTTGGCGTGTGATCCTGGGAGATTATTATGAGCAAATGGACTTTATAACCAGAAACACATCGTTTTGAACAACAGACCTTCCTCTCAGAGCTCCGATGCTCTAACATTTTTCTTTATTCCACGAGCCAACATGACCCCACAAGAAAACACAACTGTAGAAATGATCGCAATAAAAGTTCGTTCTGTGGCTTGAAAGCATAATTACAGGGACGTAGGGGAGCGTGCACCACAGGTAGCGATGCGTGGTACAAAGGCTTCCGGGCGAAAATGAAGTTCACATGGAGGCCATAGAGGACTGGACAGAAGTAGCCAGAGGAGATTGATGGAAGTAATGTTTCTTAGATAGAAGCAAAAGCCTTTTAATATCCTTCTGTCTCTTCTCCAAGATACCACTACTAGGGAAAGTCCTTCTTTCGATGGCTTGATCCCCCTGAACGCTTTTGAGTATCATTTGACAATTTTTCCTGTTCACCGTTGCTTGGTCTAGGACTTGGCCTGTCAGAATAATTATGCAGATTGATTTCATGACTTCTCTTCCCTTCGATTAGTCAGTCTGGGATTCCAGACTGTCAGACACGTCTTCAGAACCCAGCTCACTTCTGCCCAGTCCCATCTTCTTTCTCAGTCCCCACCCCGCCCCCCCGAAACCGGCAGGTCATAAGCAGCACTGTATGTCTCACCCCTAGACATTTAGAGCCACTTGCCAGTGTGAGTATAAACCATCGGACTCCACCTCAGTGCATGAAGAAAGACCTGAAGGTGTCTCAAAAGGAAAGAAAGAAAGAAAAGAGAGTGTTGAGCTTAGGGCTGCCGACCAGAAGCAGGACAATGAAGACCAAGGAGCCGTTTTCACTCCGAGGGACCCTTTGACGAGAAGGTGGGATAGGGATGCAGAAGCACAGAGAGCAGTCAGAGGGAGCCCAGATGCCGGGGAGAGGGTGCGTGCTAACCACAAGAACAGGAGTTACCCGTTTTAGCTCTTCGTAACTCAGCATCAGGAAGTTCTCCTTCTCTCTCATGGATAGCCAGCCACGAGTGTGGTCAAACCAAGATCCAAATGCCACTGCAAGGTGGGAGCGGGGAGCGGGAAGAATGGTGGGTTAGAAAGTGGGGAAGGGGGGACCCCATCGCCTGTGTTCTCTCTTGTGGGCACCATGGCTAACACAACACCTGGCACTTTGGGAACTGTCCTAACTTTTTGCCGAATGAACGAGAGTAGGGGTGGAAGATTATTAACCGAAAATCATGCATTTACCTTGCAATGAGCCTAGTTCATTTAGAGCAGGTTCTGTACCCAGTTTTTGAGGGTCCCTCAGGAGAATCGGTGAGAGACCCATGTGGCGGAAAAAATGGTGTTCTTGCAGCCCCCGATCTGATCAGCATTTAGAATTTGGGGTTGTTAGGTCACTGCCACAGGCCTTGAAGATATTTTTTTGTTTTTTGTTTTTTCTTTCATCGTTGCTATTGTAACTATTGTTCCTTCTGGAATTATCTGCCTTTGCTCTGGTTTAAGTTTTCTATTCTTTTTCCACTACGGTTTTTCTTGAGATGAGGTGAAGATTCATTTTGTAATAATTCTCTGTGAGGCTAGGTGTGGTTCTTCGATCTGAGATATCCTCAGGAAATCCTCAGGCACGTTTTCTCGAAAATCGCCTTTTCTTGTATTTTATATCTTTACCTTCCTGGGAGGTCAAACCTCTCGCTCCATTCTCCATATCTTAACTTTTTAATGGCTCTCCACCAGCCCAAGCCCTTCTTGACTCCTACGTGCCGGAGGAAATTATCAACTGAGAATTCTACTCAGTTAAACTATCGTTCAAAAGCGAGCATGAAATAAAGACATTGTCAGGTAAAATATTGAGGTGATTTATCACTTTCATTGCAAGAGAACGAGTTTAAGTTATACTTTTATGAACAAATAAAGAGAATCCAGAGAGAGGGTTCAAGAGCGGGTTAAAGGAGAACTCGAAAGGGAATCGAACAATCTCGAAGCAAACGAAAACGGAAGCACAATATCTTAAAACTTATGGGAAGCAGCAAGAGTGGTTTTAAGAAGGAAATTTATAAGGATAAATGCCTATATGAAGGAAAAGAACTATCTCAAATAAGTGACCTAAATTTATAACTCAAGAAACGAGAAAGAGAAGTGCAAACTGAGGCCAAAGTTAGCAGAAGGAAGTAAAGACCAGAGCAGAAAATATTAGAATAGATGAACAAAAACGAGAGCCGTTTTTTTTTGTTTTGTTTTTTTAAAGATAAACACATTTAGCCAGACGAAGAAAAAACAGAGCCAACTCAAATAAATAAAGAAATGGAAGAGGAAACACTACAACAGATGCCACAGAAATACAACAAGTCGGAAGAGGCTACAACGAACAACAACACACCCACAAATTGAATAACCTAGAGGAAGTGGATACATTTCTAGAAACAGACAAACTACCAAGACTGAATCATGAAGAAACAGGAAATGCGAACGATCCAAGAACAAGGAAGGAGATTGAATCAGTAATCGAAAATCTTCCAACAAAGAAAAGCCCAGGCCCACATGGTCTCCTGGAGAATTCTAGGAAAACAGTCAAGGAACGATTAATGCCGATCCTGCTCACGCTTCGAAAACATCGAAGAGGAGGAAACACTTTCGAACTCAGTTTATGAGGCCAGCATTACCCTGATACGATACCCTGATACCCTGAAAGCTAGATAAGCACACTATAAGGAAATAAAATTACAGACTAATATCCCCGATGGCTACGGATGCAAAAATCTTCAACAAAGTTTCAGCACCCTGAATACAAGACACATCAAAAGGGTTATACGCCATGGGGAGCACTTCTAGTCAGCATTGTTACAGAGCCTTGGCTAATGAGGTCAGAGAAAAGAAAAAGACTATGTATTAGAAATTAAAATAATAGTCATTAAGTGAAGGTTATATTAATACTTTATAATCAAAGAGAATCTCTAGGGAAACAATTAGAATTAAGGAGAGAGTTCATTCAGATCGATGAATAGCTAATCAACATTCAAAATCAATGATATTCTCCCAAATCAGGCACAGACAACTAGAAAATGTAATAAAGATGTCATTACTCTAAGAAGAAATGAAATACCTCCAAAAAAGAGTCGTAACCTCTTCGTAGAAAAAAAATCATAAAAAGATCATGAGACATTTAAAAAGCTTTAGAGAAGGGGAGAGAGAAACAAAGGGATATGTCTACGAATGAAGAGATTAAATGAAATATGTCATTTCCACACTCATTATTCTGTAAATTACTATAATGACAATCATGGAAGATATAAAGTAGCAGGTGCTCCCATATGCCGTTTGTGGGAATATAGTGACATGATTACTCTGGGGAATAGTTTGACATTGTCTTTTAAGGTCGGAATTCATTTTCTCTGTGCCTTAGCCGATCTGCACTCAGGTTTATAAACCAGAAAGGAAGTCACGCACGTGTGCCCAGAGAAGTGTCGTTCCCAACAGCCCTAAACTTGAAACACCTCATTGAATTTCTGATTTCTGATTCCGTCAAGCCTAACCCTGCCACAGCTCATTCTGCTGGTATGGTTGGCCTTGGCAGGTGGGAACCAGAGAGAGGGCCATCAAAGCATGCTCGGGGGCTTTTGCATAGAAATTTCCAGATTTCAAGTCTCCCAGAGCGTGGATGATGAAAGGGTGGCAAGCTCCAGGAGTCCTATAGACGCCTGACTTTGCTGGGGAGGAAATGTATCCAGAACAGGGGACCCCTTTACCCCCACCCCTTTGTTATCATGCATCAGACCCGGGGGCCAGAGGAGGGACTCCTGTTACCTAGGACTAAGTACGATACTTCCTGGGACTTAAATTCCCCAAATTTCTTCATTTGTATGGGGGAAAGGGTTTAGACTGACTTTCTACAGGCTGTAGACACCCTAGGCTATCGATCCCAGTTGAAAACAATAATGATTCTGGCATTGGTGGTTCCTGACTGGATGAGAGAGACCCACGTGTGAGTTTTGATGCAGAGATAAGCGAGATACTGGGATAGCATCCTCATCACCCACCACCGCTGACTGGGCCTTCCTGGGTTCCTGGGAACAGCTGAAGCACGGTTCGGTCTGCCTTACGCACCAAATGGCAAGATTAAACATAGCACTGACTAGGGGGCTGCTCCCTTCATGTCTGGGCTTCCGCTGTTGGGTTTCTCTGTTGTCTTTTTTTTTTTTTTTTCCTGAAAGAGTAATCTGAGGCAACGTAGGAGGCAGGGCTGAAAAGTTCCGCCAGAATCAGCTCAGTACGAAATATGACGGGAGGCTTCAAAGATTAAACTTTATACCGAGAGCAAACAGTTCAGGGGCTGTGTACTCGTCCCCATGGGTGATTGCGACACAGCCTAGCAGGGCCAAAGAGCAGGCAGATGAGGACACCGATGAGTCTAGTACGTTAACGTAGGAAAGACGTAAGGGTGGCTGTGGTTGATGAAGTACCTGGGGAAGGGGTGGCAAATACTCGTTCATTATTTAACGCAGGTGTAGTAGCTGCCTAGGACCCGGGGTCAACAGTGTACACCTCAGAGAGCTTACGTTTTAGTGGGAGACACATGGGATAAACAAATAATCAGAATCCGAATTCACTGGCGATGAGCGCTAAGAAGAGGGAGAGGGATGCTATTTTATACGCCGCTGAAAAGGAATATTTCCCTAAATACTGTCATTTCAGCAGAGACCGGAATAAAGATATTAATCAAGGTTGTGGCATAACACTTTTCTGCACGGATAGAAAAAGATATTTCATGCAAATGGAAAAGCAAAACAAACAAACAATGCTGGGGTAGCAATACTTATACCAGACCGAATGGAATTTAAAACAAAGGCTAGAACCAGAGACAAAGAAAGACCAGGCAATTCCGCTTCTGGGAATTTCTCTGAAGAAACTCAAAGCACTTATTCAAAAAGACATATGCACCTTTATGTTCACTGCAGTATTATTTACAATCGACGAGATATGGAAGCAACTTAAGCGTTCCTCATGGATGAACGGATAAATAAGATGTGGTACATACATATCATGGAATATCAGCCATGAAAAGAATAAAATCTTGCCATTTGCGACCCCATGGACAGACCTAGAGGGTGTTACGCTGAGTGAAATAACTCGGGCCGGAAAAGACACCTACCACACGATGGAGTCTAAAAAACAACATAAATGAACCAACGAAGCAGAAACCAATTCACAGGCGCAGAGAACAAACGGGTGATCGTCAGATGGGAGGGGGCTTGGGGGGAATGGCTGACAAAAGGGACGGGATTAAGAAGTACAAGGTGACAGTTCCAAAACAGTCCCGAGGGTGCAAAGTACAGTTTAGGGAACGTCGTCAACACTATGGTACTATCTGCCTCTGGTGTCAGATGCGCGTTGAGCTTAGCGTGGTGATCACTTTGGAAGTTGTAGAAACGTCTGATCGTTGTGTTGTACCCCCGGAACTAATATACTATTTTATATCAACCGTTCGATTATGTCCATTTTTTTACTGAGAAATAAAAAAAAATATATTTTAAAAAACGGTCGTGGGATTTACGTAAAGGAAAATGGCGAAGGGCATGGGGAGGCCGTATGGGAAGGTTGGAATCACGCTCGTCCTGGGACGAAGGGCGGGTCTATGTATTTAATGAGGTAACGATGCAGAAGGGGAAGTTTTGGTCGCGGGGGGCAATGCGCTCGACTTTGAACTTGTCAGATTTGAGGGATCTATGGTTCTCTCTGCGGAGCGGATGTCTGTGGATTTAGAGAGACAGGTTTGCAGTTAGGGAGACAAATCGCAGCTGACATATGGGACTCGTGTAGTTTTGGAGGAAATCGCAAAATTTTAAGTATCTGAGAAAGTCTAGAAATTCTGCATAATTAAAAGTAGAGATATCTTCAGGTAATGCATACTTTTTTTTTTGAGTTTTAACAGCTTTTCTTGGGTTTCTTTTTCTTTTTCTTTTCTTTTTTTTTAATGCCTACAGCACCTGGTCTTCCTAGGTGGTCTCCCATCCAAGTACTAACCAGGCCCGACCCTGCTTAGCTTCCGAGGTCAGACGGGATCGGGCTCGTTCAGGGTGGGCATGACCCTGGACATTTTTTCTTTTTCTTTGAAAAAAATGTTATTTTAAATGTCCACCTGAAAATTACATAATTGTATTCACCAACGTTACCCCAATAAACTTAATAAAAAAAATGGTTATTTTATTAGTTTCAAGTACACAGGACATTGGCTAGACAATTATAGAGTTTATAAGACGATCTCCCTGAGTGTTGTGTCTCTGGCTGTCCGCCTAGCCAACATGTTCGTGCTGACTGCATTCCCCATGCCCCGAATGCGTACATTTTTTTGAGACCGATGGGACAAGCGCATAAAGGGCGTTTTAGAAGGATGCATCTAAAACCGATGGAAGGTCGAGATTGTGTTGTCCAGGAGGCCGGTGAGAAGCTGACTTTTAGAAAGCCATGAATTAGGAGAGCAGAGGAGAGGAACACAGATGCTCTTGTTGGTGTTAGACTCAGGGGACACTTAAGACAGATGACGATGGGGCAGGCCGAAGGGCCGGCTGGGGTTCTGCGGCTCTGCCAGAGAGCACGTGGAATCAGAAAATGTGGGTTCCCAGGGTGATGGAAGCTTTTACCCACAGGTTAGCGAGATGCAGGGCTGAGCGACGGGGTGTCAGACGAAGTCTGGTCGAGGACTCCGAACCACCTCCCGGCGGCCATATCTTACATTCACTCACCATTTCCTCGGATGAACCAGTCAAGATATTGTTCCAGGGACTCTGGTTTCTTCACCAAATTGGAAATAGTCCAGAAAAAATAACCAGACACGAGGACGTCTCTGGGATTTCGGAGGAGATAAATCAGCTTAGAGAGAAAGACGGGGTAACAAAACATCAGTACAGTTTCCCATGCTGCCCGGTCTTCATAAAAACGGAGGGAAAAAAGCCATTTCCTGGGAAACGCCTAGTGAGTATCAATGGATTCCTTTAATAAGCTGATGATTGCATGCATTAATCAAATAGCTATTTTACGGTTCTTAGCAACCAGTCACCGGGGTGATCTTACAATAGAGGAGAAAAGGATTGTCCCTTGTTTCTGAGATATTTTAAATCCGGATCTTGAAGGTAGTTGCTCGGCTGCGTACGCATCTAAAGATCTGACAAGCTAACACTCCAGGCGAGTGTGTAGACACAGACAGTACGCATCTAAAGATCTGACAAGCTAACACTCCAGTCGAGTGCGTAGACACAGACGCGCGCGTGCGCGCGCACACACACACACACACACACACGCATGCAAGGATGCTCGGCATCCGAACGCCTGAGTTCTATTCTGGATTCTGCGCCAGCTTCCTGTGGGACACACACACACACACACACACACACACACGTGCAAAGATGCTCGGCATCCGAACGCCTGAGTTCTGTTCTGGATTCTGCACCAGCTTCCTGTGGGACGTGATTCCAGGCCCCCGTGCTCGCCAGGCCTCAGTTTCCCCATGCAGGGGGGTGTAACAAGCACCAAGAAGACACGTGTAAATCGGTGTATTATAAATAAGCTTGGAAAGTGATGGGTTTTAGAAAAAAAACTTCATCGTACTGTGACATGTGAAATTTCAAAGAGAGGAGAATATTATTCTAAGCTTTATGATCGAATGTAAGCATCAAACATTAAAAAAAAAAAAAAAGCACAGACCAGTTAGACCCTTCCAGGAAAGTGGGTTTCTAAAAGCGATCTGAGATATGCTAGGTCCTGGCTATCTGTGGTCCTTTCTGCTGGTCATCTGTCAGCCCCATAAGAGATTTGTGTGACCGTTAATCTCAAGAGACAGCTACTTACACATAGAACAGCAGAGAGGTCAGTAAAAGCAGCATGCTGCTGGAGAATCACTCTGAATTTAGGCATGGATTTAGATATTTGCTGCTCCCCAAATGGGCAGCTCTATGTCCAGTGCTTCTACCTAAGTGGCAGGTGACATCTATTTAAGGTCAGCCAATGACTTTTTAGAGCAACAAAGTGGTGGGAGTGGGGCGGTGGGGGGGACGTGGGGTTCTCTAGTACATAACACAGTTATCAATTCTAGCCCGGGTTTAAAATGGTTTTCTAAGATTCTGGCATTACCATTTTGCTCTGCCCCTGGTTCACACCTGGCTAGTATAACCTGTGAACTGGTCCACAGCCTTGTGGACCTCACATCACCAAAGGTGGAGTCTCAGGCTCCACCCCAGACCCACTGAATAAGACTGCATTTCGGCCAGACGTCCAGGTGATTCCTAGGCACATTAAAGTTCGAAACACATTAATCAACCACATCTTGGCGCTTGTGCACTGACCTTGGCCTTGGACTTGAAGACGGACTTGGGGAAGAGGTGGATGGGGAGGTGGGAGGTCATGAGGCGTGGCCCTTCCTTATCCTTTAGGAACTTATATCCTTTCGAAGTCTCTAACCAGGGCGAGCGTTCCCAAATGGGCACAGATTGGATCCACTTGGTACCCCCCTTGGAGTAAATCAGGCAGATAATTTCAATCAACCAGTTCGTCCCTGGACAAAGAAGGAAAAAGCACGGTCGCTCATTGTTTAATCTGGCTTTAAAAAATATCGTAATGGACTAGAACGCGAAATGTACCTTCTTAACCGTGGTCAAGGGCACCGTTCACTAGCATCAAGCACATCCATCCACCTGGTCGAGCAACCCATCTCCAGAATGTTTTCATCTGGCAGAACCGAAACTCTACCGCCACTAAACGACACCCCTCCACGTCCCCTCCCTCCAAGCCCCGGCATCCACTAGTCTGCTTTCTGGTTTGAAGTCTGATTCCTCTAGGTACCTCGTCTGAGTGGAATCACACAGCGTGTGTCCTCCTGTGACTGGTTCCTTTCACTTAGCATAATATCCTCACGGTTTGTCCACGTTGTAGTGCGGGTCCGAACTTCTTCCTCTTGAAAGCTGGATAATGATCCATTGCATGTGCGTGCAACCTGTTGGTGACCCGTTCGGCCTTCGGTGGACGTTTGGGTCGCTTCCACCTTGTGGCTGTTGGCCTAAATCCACGTAATGTGTTCTCGCTGTCCTTGGCTTTTCACTCCCCTGCTACTTCCAATGTCTTCGGCCTCACTCCTTGCCCAATTGTCCCCTCGGAGAAGTGTGACTCACATCCTATCGTCCCTTGAATTTGCCAGGCTTGTTTACAGCTCCTGCCCCTGAAAATATCCCCCTTTTCACTAAACAAGGTCACATCTATTCTTTTCATCTCAATTTAGATGCTATTTCTTCCACCTTTTTGGGGGGAGGGGGCGGGGAGGCTGTGAGAGTTGTATTTTAGTCGTCCCCCTCGGTTTTACCGAGATACAACTAACGTCAAAATTGCGTATATTTAAGGTGTGCGACATGATGATTCGACATACGTATGTCTTGTGAAATGGTTACCACAATCGAGCTAATCGTTTCACATAATTACCTGTTTTTTTTCATTTTGTTTTTTCTATTTCTACTTTTTCTATAAGGATTTCGCTGGTCATCCATCATCTTCCACTTCTCCATATAAGCAACTGCTTCTGCACCTCACCCCTGCCCCCCCGTCCCCACCCCACCCATACCTTCAAATTCTCACTCTGAACACGCATCTCACTGTGTAACTGCCTGGCTCAGTCATTTCTCCTGAACAGAAACGGTTCTAGGGCACAGCTCTGTCTCCCCAAAGCACAGAGAAAACACTCCATTTGTCTACTGAATGGATGAGGGACATAGGCAAAGCCTGTCTCCGTACCTGGTCCTGCTTCCTCACCTGATTTGGGGAAAGTCAGTATTAAGACATCTTCATCCTTCAAGACAAAATTCTCCTTTATGTCTCTCAGGTGTTCGGGCGAGAAGCCCACGAAGGGAAAAGGTATTCCTTCAAACCACACATACTCGTCTGACATTCTGATGAGCGCTTCTGGATCTGGTGCGAGAGATTCAGCTGTAGCCATGGCTGGAGGCTGTGGCAGCTGCCGAGAGATCGGCTTTTTTAGTGAAGGTAAAAAACAATCATTAATCTCTTAGTTTGTTGAGGAGTTTGCCTGCCGATAACGAGTAGATATTGGAACTAATAGGTGATCATAGGGCTGATGGTATTGAGCAACCATGATGTCATTCAGAGAACATTTTGGGGTAATCTGAGTTTGAATTCATGGATCCAATAACAAGCCCAAAGAGGGAGAAATGTGGGCAAATTAAAAAATATTTTTAGTAAGCTTTATTTTTTTCCGAGCAGTTCCATTGAGTCATCATGTCTCCTCTCAGGTGAGTCGGTTTCTCAGATTTTCCCTGTTTTTTTTTTTTTTTTTTTTTTTAATGACCTTGACAGTTTTGAGGAGTCCTGGTGAGGTATTTTGGAAAAGTCCCTCTTTGAGATCTGTCAGATGTTTTTATTTTTATTTTATTATTATTTTTATCATGACTACATGGTGTTTATTGGTTTGGGGAGGAGAAAGATTACAAAGGTAAAATATTCATTCGTCACCCTTATCATTGCAACACTTTCAGGGTACTCATGATCAACATGACGTATGACGGTTGATGTTGACCTTGATTGTCTGGCTGAGGTAATGTTTGTCAGATTTCTCTTCCATAAATCTACTCTCTCCCCTCCCCCCTTTCTATATGGGCACATTTAAAAAACGAACTCTAGACCTGAATATAGTCATAAGAACACATTGTCTAAACTCCAATGGAGGGATATTATATGAAACGATTCTCTGTTACTATTCGAATTGTTAAACTGTTTCTATATATATATAGATATAGAGATAGATATATATAGATATAGAT